GCGACCCTTTAATACAGTTCCTCATGTTGTGGTGACCCCCAATTTCATTGTTACAAACTGAACATAATTAAAGCATAGTGATTAATCACAAAAACAATATGTAATTATATATGTGTTTTCCGATGGTCTTAGGCAACCCCTGTGAAAGGGTCGTTCGACCCCCCAAAGGGGTCACAACCGACAGGTTGAGAACCATTGCCTTAGTCCCTGGAACCTGGTGAACATGTCACTTTACATTGCAACAGGGACTCTGCACATGTGATGAAGATGGAAGATTATACTGGAAGAGGAAGGCTTAACCTGATCGCACAAATCTTTAACAGTGGGGAGCTTTTCCAGGCTGTGGTCAGAGGAAGATCTGACTGTGGAAGAAGGGTGACAGAGATGTTAAATTGCTGGCTTTGAAGATGGGGGAGGAGACAATGAGCTAAGAATGTGTAGCCTCTGAAAGATGGAATGAGATCAAGGAAACAGACTCTTCCCTGAAGCCCCAGAAAGGCAGGCGTGTGGCCTTGCTAACACCTTGATTTTAATCTGGTTAACCTGTGTAAAACTTCTGATCTCCAGAACTATAAGATTATATATTCAGCTATTTTAAACAACCGAAATTATGGTAGTTTGTTATAGCAAAAGTAAAAAGCAAATACAGAAGTAATGCTGGAGTTAAGTTTGAGGATTAAGTAAAGTTAGTTCCGCAAATAAGGAACCCCTTATACTGAGCTGTGCCTCGAAGGGAGAGAGACATTCTGCCAGTGTATGATCCTATTTTGTGCTTCTGGCCCTCATATATGAGATTTCTTAAACCTGAATTTCCTTTACCCACTTATTTGCTGAGCTAACTTTACTTAATCCTCAAACTTAACTCCATTGGGAAATATTTTAATAGATCAACAATTTTACACACAGAATTCCTTTAAAAATATTTGTTTATTGGTCTCAAGTTTGGAAGTCAATATTTAGAGAACATTTTGATTATTATGCTCTTTAGATTATAAATCTTGTAAAAATGCTGCTTTTTCTTTTTTAAAGACATTATTTATTTGCATGGTTAATAAAAAGTGACTAAAATGCTACCAAGAAGAGTTATTTTTTTGGGGGGGTAAAGCACATTAAGTTGCATCTAGGGATTTATCTAGAAAAAAATTGTTAAGTTGGTAAAAATATATTTTTAGCACATTTTAATACCTTTTGATATCATTTTTCCTTTTCCTTGAACTTTATTACCCACCAATGACATAAGGACCTACTGGGACTTCCTAACCCTATCAAGTGTGGTTAAACAAATTAACTTTTATTTTCACTATTGTATTTAAGGTTTTTTTGCTTTCTCTCCTACATGTTTTGTTAAAACTTTAGAATAGTTCATTTTGGTGGCATTTATGCTTAGCCTGATAGAGTCACTATTAATATAATTTCTTAAAAAATAATTTCAAGCATTTTCAGCATCTGTGTTGGTAAGATAGTTTTAGGATACTCATTGCTTTTTCTATGGTAGGTTAGAACGTGACTTGAGGTGGTTTTTGTTTTTACCATCAACTATATTTAAATCAATTACGTATGAAAAAAAGCTTCTTTCTCATTTATCTTATCAAGGTCATATCCTCCCAAAATACATAAACCTACACTTGACAGTGAAAATCCCAATATAATGAATAAAAGATCTCTGAGACCTTGCTAAAGGCAATATAGCAGTGAAAACTTTCCTCTCATTGCCTGAATGACTGCAGGCTCTGTTTTAAATTAATTTCTTGGCATTTCCTACTGGCCTGCCAGTTATACAGTAATTTTTCAAAGATGTGACTGATTAAAAAATAAATTTGTTGTAATAATAATAATAGGGTCATTAAACGATAGCTTTAGAGAAATTGAAAGGAAAACAAAAACAATGGAATCAAACTTTAAGGTTCTCTTTTTAAATCCCAGCAGGTCAAAAGGTGGCCAATAAAAATCTGAAAACTGCCAAAACCGGTTTGGCTCGGTGGATAGAGCGTCCCCAGGTTCGATTCCGGTGAAGGGCATGTACCTGGGTTGCGGGCACATCCCCAGTGGGAGATGTGTAGAAGGCAGCTGATCGATGTATCTCTCTCATCGATGTTTCTAATTCTCTATCTCTCTCCCTTCCTCTCTGTAAAAAATCAATAAAATATATTTTTAAAAAATCTGAAAACTTAAAAATAGATACACTGCTGCCCTAGCCAGTTTGGCTCAGTGGATAGAATGTCGGCCTGTGGACCGAAGAGTCTTGGGTTCAATTTTGGTCAAGGGCACGTACCTCAGTTACAGGCTCCTCCCCGGCCCAGGCCCATGCAGGAGGCAATCAATCAATGTGTTTCTCTAACATTGATGTTTCTCTCTGTCTTTCCCTCTCTCTTACACTTTCTCTATTTCTCTAAAATCAATGGGAAAATATCCTCAGGTGAGGATTTAAAAAAAAAATAGATACGCTACTGTGCTTTCATGAAGACCAGTATAATCAGAATGTTGATAACACTGACAGATTCTTACAGACCAAATATTTTATCATACTGGATTTTAAACTACACATATATGTTAAATGGTGGTCTTGATTCGATTTTATAGAGTAGTTTCAATATAACAGTAAAGTTAATTCAGAAATTTAGCGGCCCAGGTTAATATAAAATTAAGGAAGAGCAGTAGAAAAACTGCTTTTTTCAATATCCAAATCATGTAGTTTTTCATTCCAAATGTGGGTTTGTCTCTCTAACAAACATACATTTTGCCCAGACATGTTTCCAACTTGAAAATATCCATTTTATGTTTTGGTGCGAGGAAACAGGCTTTGCAGACATGGAAGACCAGAGAGAGAGGCACCACTCAGGAATCCCAGAGCAGAAATTCTTTTGACCCCACCAGGATTAGGGTATGGCCTTGCTCATGTTGCATTCGGTTGAAATATCGGGAGAGCTGGTAGATTATAAAATTCGCTTAAATGAAAGCACATCGACTGTTAGTGCAACACTATTTCTGGTAGAGTAGTGTGAGCCTTGTGTAAAGGGAAGAAAAGAACTTGTCTAGTTCCTCAGCTCTGGCTGGATGACGTCTACCTTGAAAGAACCACTAGAGACTCAGTGCCTATTAGAGAACTAAGGGCCCAAATGATTTGCTCTGAGGTGTGTCCTTATCCCATATGCTCTCTCAAGACTCTGGCTCTTACACAGTGTTTTTATTTTGTTAAACAAATCAGGCCCTGATGGTGCAAGTGTGTGTGTGTGCCTGTGTGTTTTAGTATGTGTTTTTAATATTGATTTGTGACCTCCCAGTTCATAGGTCAACACTCAACTACTGAGCCACACAGGCCGGGTGAAGAAGTCTTTTTGCCCATCCTGTATAATAAAGAGCTAATATGCTAATTAGACTGAACAGCAGAATAACTGTCTGGATGACCTTCCGGATGAAGCTGGGGCTGTGAGGGCTGGCCGATGCAGCCAGGGCTGCACGGGCCGAGCCCCGTGCATAAATTCATGCATCAGGCCTTTAGTAATTTAAATAAGAAAATTCATTGGAAGCACACTTCTATGTGGATTTATGAGCAGTAGGTATTAAAAAATGCTGGCCAGAAAACTTCTCATAGCTTGTGGTATAAAGGAACCTACACATACACATTCTTAGGCATTGTAGCATTACTGACAGTAATCAAACATTTTCCTAGTGGTGCTATCTTTTGTGATTTCAAGGTCAACTTGAGAGTTATTTTTTAATAGAGCAAATTTTATTTTTATATATGAAAATCTACAATGAGATACCACCTCACACCTGTTAGAGTAGCCATTATTAACAAGACAAGCAATAACAAGTGTTAGAGAAGTTGTGGAAAAAGAGAACCCTCATTCACTGCTGGGGGAATGTAGACTGGTACAACCACTATGGAAAGCAGTCTGGTGATTCCTCAAAAAATTAAGAATAGAGCTACCATATGACCCAGCAATCCCTCTCCTCAGAATGTACCCGGAAAACTTGAAAGCATGTATTTGCAAAGATATATGCACCCCTTTGTTCATTGCAGCATTACTCACGGTGGTCAGGACATGGAAGCAACCAAAGTGTCCTACAATAGAGGGCTGGATAATAAGATGTGGTACATATACACAATAGAATACTATTCAGCCATAAGAAAGGAGGAAGTAGCGCCATTTGCAATAACATGAATGGACCTTGAGAACATAATGCTAAGTGAAATAAGTCAGTTAGAAAAAGCTAAGAACCATATGATTTCATTCATATATGGGAATCAAAACTGAAACTTAAGAACACAAACAGCACACCCCAAACTGGGGATTAAGCCCACAGCAGTATGGTGGTTGCCAGAAGGAAGGGGGTGGGGGGCAGAAGGGGGTCTTCATATATGGTTACATGAGAAGATTTGACTTTGGGTGGTGGGCACATGGTGTAATATACAGATCTTGTAACATAGAAACCCACACCTGAAACCTATATGTTCATGTCGACCAATGTCACCCCAATAAATTTAATTTAAAAACGAAGAAAATCTCTTGGTTGAATTTTGAATTATATCATACATTTTGGTCATCAGGCATTTGAAGAAAATGTGCATACTCAGAACCTGGTTACATGTCTTACTCTCTCCAAGTAGCCTGGTTGTTAACATGCATGCTTTTCTTACCACCAGAGGCTCAGTGCGTGGTCTGGGTAGGCAAGAAAAGGTCTCTCGCAGGAAGGTGGTAATCTCCAGCAGCAGCTGGCATGCTGCCATCTTCAAAGCAAAGGGGCAGCCGCATTTAGAGGGGTTCACAGTACCTGTGGAATGAGAGTTCTTTCATGAGTTAACAAACTAAAATACAAAGAGGCGTGGTTTAATGGAAACAGCTACACATGTGTAAAATCAAACTGCATATGAGAACGTTACCTAAACATGTCCAAAATGAAAGTGCATATGAGAATGTTACCTATACATGTTCAATTTACCTATTCCCTTTACCACAATCTGTCCATTAACAGACCTCTCTCTTTTTCCAGCTTGTAATTCTATAACAAGTGCCCAGTATTAAAATAGCAATCAAGAACTAAATTATTCTCCTTACTGCCACGTAGAGTAACAAAATGCAGCCTTTTGATGAAAACAGAAATGGGAAAGCAGTTTTGAAAGATTTTCATATCACTATTCAATTAGATTTAGACTATATACATGGCGGTGGGGTCGATTTGAAACTATAAAGGTCCTGCTGATTCATTTTATCAGAGACATCTCTCTTGATATTCTGAGGACAGTGAAGTTGTTTCAGTTCAGGGCCAGATATGTTTCTGTAGCATTGATAAGACATACTTGATCACCTCCCTCATCCAACTGATGCAAGTTAGCCTGTCATATTAAAGTATTGCTACACTAAAAGAATGCAAATATCCTCCTTTGTTCCAATGCATACTGATATTTAAATGAGCAAAACATTGCATCCACCATAGTTCAAGTAATGGATTTTTCTCTAAAGGCAGATAATGTCCAAATTGGTACCATAGAGACTTTTTAAATTCTCAGGATTTAAAACTCTCAGATACATATCATCACAAATCAAGCAGAAATACACTGATTACTTAAAAAGAAGACCAAAGCTATGCAGAGTTCTGTCTCTCATAAAAGGAAGCAGTTATCACCCAGTCATCATGGCTCAGTGGTTGAGCGTCAACCTATGAACCAGAAGGTCACAGTTCAATTCCCGATCAGGGCACATGCCCTGGTTATCTATTTTGAATGAATTAAATCATTGAGCAAGCAATATCATTGCATAGCAACATTGCTAAAAATACCTCTAAAATATTTCCCATGTAGTAGGCTTTCTTAATTGAATATAATTTATACTTCATGGTATATACTGACAGTAGGAGGAAATTATGGTCTTTCTGAAGATAACTGGCTATTGTTTCCTCATGAAGACCAGTATTTTCTCTCCAAAGATAGCATGTGGCTGGGGAATATTGCCTCTTTTAATGTTATTTATTTATTTATTTTAAGCAAAGCACCTTTCTTTTTTAAAAAAATGTATTTTCATTGATTTGAGAGAGGAAGGGAGAGGGAGAGAGGGACAGAAACATCAATGATGAGAAAGAACCACCGATTGGCTGCCTCCTTCACACCTCACACTAGGGATTGAGCCCACAAACGAGGCATGTGTCCCGACCTAGAATTAGACTGCTCCATCCCAGTTCATGTTGATGCTCAACCACTGAGCCATGCTGGCTGGGCACAATGCCTCTTTTTAAAAATGTAAGGGACAAACTCCTTTAGAATTTCCAGACTGATGTGTGTATGCACCATGATTATCTTTTAAATGCAGGATGAGCTATGTATTGACTTGAATGTTGAATGAAACCAGACATTCCAATCTATGTTTGATGAAGGCTACATGACTCTAGAAATTACCTGGATGTGCAATGGCTTTTTAAAAATAATGAAAGACTAGATATTTAGTGTAAACTTATGGATCTGTCCTTTTACTTCTGAGTTTTCATCTAGATTCTTCTTGTCTGTCCTATACACAATGAGCTTGGTCTTAGTCCAAGGCCTCGCATAACTATCATCTCAAATGTTCTGTTATAATGAACAAGGACTGAGTAAAGCATAAGCTCACAGAAAAGCTAATATACCAGTATAACATAACTGGTAAATGGTACTTAGGTGGTCTCATGAAGATTCAAGGTTATTTTGGTCTATGAGGATATGTCCACTTGATGTTGCCTTGGCTCTTCTCTGTTCTGAATGACCCCTGAGAGGCCCAGTGCAGTTTAGGGATGTCTTCTGGCAGGCCTTCAATAGGCTCTGTGATCACTGAATACTCCTAAAGGCCTTCTACAAATCAGACCCAATTCCATGAGTCATTCTAGGAGAGGCTAGACTACTATGAACTTAACGAAATCATTGGGGCAACTATCACCATTAGACTGGAAGACTGATGTCAGAATTTGGTGTTTTGTCAACAACTAAGTCAAGAAATTTTCTCTCATTTGATAAGGGCCGAGAAAGAGCAAAATGTCTTAAAATTATTTTTAAAAATCCTTGATATAAAAGTGAAAAAGAAGACAATATGTTTTTTATTATTATTTAGTTCTGTCTAATGTTACAGTCTAGCCATGACATATAGTCTTTATATTTCATGACTATAAGGGTGTAGTATGTTTGGCATCACTTAACGAGGGACAACCCTTAAAACATAATCAGGGAGTTTGAGTTTCAAACCACTAGGGAGGGTCAAGAGGAAGAGGCCTCATTGTCTTCAAATAATGATACTGATTCCATGATCACATTGGAATTGTATGACCCATAAAAGGCAGTGGTGCACATACATACAAGCTCATATGGCATAGAACACATATATGCACAAAATGGTTCTGGAGAGAGATGTACAGAACTCTTTGCCTCTATTTTTCTATGATAGAACTCAATTATAATTTTAATACATCACTACAGTGTGGAAGATATTCATAGTTCTAACAATGTGAATCTTTTAATAATTCAATTTAATGTTAAATGCTGCATTATACACTGTTTAAAAATTACAATATGTTAGTGATCTGGAAAGTATGTCATGTTCAATTTTGTTTGGTATAACTTTTATTTTATTTTTTAATCTCCAAAAGCAATAATAAAATACAAAATCTGACCAAACTCCCCTTGGGACAGTAATATTCCACAGTTTAATTTTCTCAGAGAAGCCTAATACTAATCTTTGTGTAATAATATGAGTCAGAGACTACAAAGCAATGGAAGTTCCAGATGGCCTGCAACTCTTTGCCCCTGTCTATAGTCTCTTCTAGTCTCCTCTTTCTGGTTCTTGCCCTCTCCTCGGTGTGGCTTTATGCACATGCTTTACATCCATACACAGGGAATAGGGGGGAAGGCGCAGTGGGGACACATGGGAAGGTGGTAAGAATATGGAAGAGGAAAGAGAAATATTAAGTGCTCCTAAAGCAGAGGTTCTTACAAGCAGGGGTTCTTGTAGTAAAGGGAGTCTCCTTACTGTCATCTAAAAAGTCTTCCTCCTCATCCTCCTTTCTCAGTCTCCTCTTGGTCTCCTCATCATAAATAAGACCCAGCAGATTAGCTGGGCTCTCACTCTCCCCGTGGCACAGCTCATTCAATCGGATGCCAATTGCCTACCAGGGAGGGGAAAAAAGAAACAGCACAAAGTATATTAGACTGTAAAGTAGGCTCTTGCATACAGAGGACATAAACAATGAGTGGGAAGTTCTTCCAGCATAAGCCTCCTCTGTTTGCCATAGTGTTGTTACCGCCAGGTTTTCTAATATGGAAACCCAGAGATGGAAGGCACTGATGCTATCTCCACGGTCATTCAGACTAAATACTTGTAGGAACTAGGATGGTACTTTGGTAGACTCATAGAATTTTTTTTCCCATTTACTCAGTGAAAATATTTTCATTTACCTAAGGGTCATTTATTTTATAGGTCTCATATACAGGTGTATTTCAGTCTTTCATGGGAGATTTTATTGCAGTAAAAATAAGAAGTCACCCTTTGTCAGAGTACTCCTGATCATGCTATTTTATGAGAATGTCATTGTCATGCTAATGAGTTTGGAGGTTGGCAAGAATTCTGGTACTGCAATTTTATTTTTATCTGCCATTATATATGCACTGATTGTCTTTTTTATAGAATTTGTTCCCTCCTCCATGATACTCTGAATTAGTAAGAAATAGTAACTATTCTTTTGGTAGAGTACCCAACATCAATATTGGAAATATAACTTTTAATAACTCAGCACATAGGCAATATTGTGGGGTTTTTTAAATACGGTATTAATGGAACTAATAATTAATGAATTTTCCCTAAGAAGAGAAAAAATAAACTATCTCTATCTAATTTATTTTATATTCCAATTATACACTGTATGCAACAGTGGAAGGAGCACAAGCCCAGGAAGAAAAATTAGGGAAATAACTAAAATGAACTTGGGGTCTGACTGGTGGATTACTCTGTGTACTGGTAAGACTAAAATGCCAGCTAAATCTTTCCTTTCTTCTTACAACATTCTTTTCAAACATTTAGAAAAGTTACTAAATTCTGGACATACAAGAAATTACACTCACTACTGGAAACTGACATATGAAGGTATGTCCAGAATTCTTTAAATAAAAATGCAAGCTGTTTGAGTGTCTTGATTATTGGGAAACAAAAAGGTGTAAGTTAAACCCACAGCCCTCAAAAGGTAAAGGATTGCTAAAAAATGAACTCTGAGATAATACTAAAATGCCTTCATATAGAAAGTCTCCTCAAACTCTAGAATTAAGTGCGGAATAAGAAAAACCACATGAAAAGAAAGCAAACCATGTATACAGATATCACAGGATCCTAAAATTTTAGCCACTAGCCTTAGAAGTTTTAAGCAAAGAAAACAATAAAAATAAAAAACCCCACCTCAACAAAAATCTTTGTCCTGATGTTACTATTTTGGAGATCCCTCCAAAGGTGGGTGCATGCAACATGAGTCTAGAATGGAGCCAACAAGCTGAATAGTGAGGTCCAAAGGGAAAGATTCCATATCAATCCTCCCAGGATGTGAAAATAAATAGTGTAAGTTAAACCCACAGCTCCCAAAAGGGGGTTGCTAAAAAATGAACTTCTCGCCGAACCGGTTTGGCTCAGTGGATAGAGTGACGCCATTTGTTGAGGAGACTGTCTTGTCTCCATTGTATATTCTTGTCTCCTTTGTCAAATATTAATTGAGCATAATGGTTTGGGTCAATCTCTCGGTTCTCTGTTCTGTTCCATTGGTATGTATGTCTGTTCTTGTGCCAGTACCAGGCAGTTTTGAGAACAGTGGCTTTTGTACACCGAGCTTACAATCTATTGGCAAGCATGTCAAACTCACGGCCCGCGGGCCACATGTGGCCCACCCAATATAACAGTGTGAGCAGTTATTTACAATTATGAAAGGAAATAAGTCTCCTGTCAGATCCAGAATTACTGACATTCACCTTGGGTCAGTTTTGAAAGTAATCACTGCGAACAAGCTTTCCCCCCAAGTAGGAAAGAAATTAGCAGAGAAAAGATGCCAAGTGTCAGTAAGAAAACATTAATTTTATCATTGCTCTTGTTCTTTTTTTTATACTATACTTTTCTAAATAAACCTACGTTTCTATGAAAATTGAAGCTTTTTTGTGTGTGGCCCACATAAACTTAGACCTTATTTATTTGGCCTGTGTTAGCCTTTGAGTTTGACATGCTTGGTCTATTGGAGAGGTAATAACATACCAAAATAGCACATTAAGTAGTGAAAGACTTCATTAGTTCAGAAGGTGGAGAGCTTGGATTCAGTGTGGAGAATCATGGAAAGTCTCATTGCAATAGATTTGTGAAGAACTGGTGTTTTGGGGGATGGGGAAGGGAAAG